AATCATGATAATAGTAGTAGTAATGATAATAACAGTAATAATGATGATGATGATGATTCATAATTATTATCTATTTCACGGTACTGATACTGATAAGGATGATAATGATAATAGTAGCAATATTGGTAATGATATTGATAGCAATGATGACGATGATGAATAAAATAATAATAATAATAATGATAATAATAATGATTGTAATAATTATGATGATAATATTAATGATAGTAATGATGATAATAATCATAAAGTGATGAAAGCGAGAACTGATGATGATGGTGATGATAGCAACAATCTCTATGATAATGACAACGGCAACAATGAAATAAAAGAGAGAGAGAAAAATAGTCATCATTCATAATTTCATATTATAATTGTTTTATTGCGTGACCGATATTAGAAACTTTTCTCTTACCAAGTCCTGTTTTCATCAGTCAGAAGATGAAATGGTTATACATGATTATCCGCAACGAGTTAACGGTGTATAGTGTCGTTGTTGTTGCTATCGTTATTATCGGGAACAGGGGCACTGTCCATGGAAGCAGCATTATGACCTAGCGTTGATATTATATTTAACTGTGAAATTTATCGCATTCAGTTATCGTTATAATTGTCATCGCTTTCATCATTATGATCATAAATATCATTATCGTTATGGTAATTACTATCAATGGTAATGATTATCACCACTGTTACGGTTGCCATCCTCATCACCATGATCTCTGCCACCGCCATCCGTGAACCATACCATCTCCGCCTTTACGAGCAGCCACGACCACCATCGTCGTCAACTTCCTCTCCTTCGCCCCTCCAGGAGGAAGTCGTCAACCGCAGGGATTCCTCGGGACAACTTCTCCACCCGAACTTCCGGCGCAGACTTGTGCAGGTGGGCGGGTACTACGCGTGGCGATCTCACGCCCACTTTGACATCGAGAAACACGTCGTCCTGGCGCCACATCATCACCGCGGGCGGCTGCTCACAGCAAGGAACATCCAGGTGTGGTTGTAGGTGGTGAGTGGGCAGAGAGGGGAGTGGGTTGAGTTCACCCATCGAATAGATAGGTGAATGGCAGTCTGAGATGAGGAGACAAAGACAAACAAGGGGAGGGAGAGAGCGAGGCAGAGAGGGAGAGGGAAAAGGAGAGGGAGAGGCAGAGGGAGAGGGAGAGAGAGGGAGAGGGAGAGGGAGAGGGAGAGAGGGAGAAGGGTAGAGTTAGAAGGAGAGTTAGAGGGAGAGAGGGAGAGGGAGAGTTAGAGGGAGAGGGAGAATTAGAGGGAGAGAGGGAGAGGGAGAGTTAGAGGGAGAGAGTTAGATGGACAGAGTTAGAGGGAGAGGGAGAGGGAGAGAGGGAGAGAGGGAGAGGGGGAGAGGGAGAGAGGGAGAGAGAGAGAGAGGGAGAGGGAAAGGAAGAGAGGGAGAGGCAGGGGGAGAGAGAAGGAGAGAGTTAGAGAGAGGGAGAGGGAAAGTGAGAGTGAGAAAGAGGGTGAGAGTGAGAGTGAGAGTGAGAGGAAGTGAGAGAGGGAGAGGGAGAGGGAGAGGAAGAGGGAGAGGGAGAGGGAGAGGGAGAGGGAGAGGGAGAGGGAGAGGGAGAGGAAGAGGGGGAGAGAAGAAGGGGAGAGAAGAGGGAGAGAGTGAGAGGGAGAAGGGGAGAGAAGAGGGAGAGGGAGAGGGAGAGGGAGAGAGGGAGAGGGAGAGAGTGAGAGTGAGAATGCAGTACGTTCTGATTAATAAACTTGTATAATCTACTTGAAGATCTCAATGACCAGCTTTTGATAGCAAATGGTATCTCTGACGTGGCCAACTCGCTGCTCAATCGGCTACTACAGTGAATAGGAGTAAACACTTGATAGATACTGAATGATATCATATAAAGTGTGTGGGTGAAATTACGTTTGCTCTTGTGTTATTTTTTCTGTGAGGTATAAATAAGTTTTATCAGTAGATATACGATCTAATTCTACTTATCATTTGCCACATTGCAATTAACAGTAAGCGACTAATTAGATAAAATATGTATAAATAGAAGACGAATTAACAAAATACTTACAGTTTTGTTTTCAGTAGACTTTACTTTACGAGAAATGCATAAAGTTGAGAGACCTAGTAGCAAGTAACAAAATAACTTTAGTCTCCTTTCTATCTCATGAACATGAGCGAGAGCGTGCTAACGGCCTGGTCCCGCAGGAGTACGTGAGCGAGGTGATCAGCGAGGACCTGCCGAAGGATCTCCCTCCGTGGCGCGTGACGGTGGTGCGTGCGAGCGCGGGCGATGGCGAAGGGCGCACGTGGGTGGTGTGCCGCGCCCACCATTTGCTGGCGGGGCAGCTGTCGCTTCCGGACCTGCTGGTCACGGCCTACCCGGACCCTTGGCAGCACCCGGCCACGCGCAGCCTCACGCTCCTCGCCGCGCCGGCCGCCACGCGTACCTTCCTCGACATGGTCGTTCGGGAGTGCGCCGAGGCGACCGCTCGTGCCGTCCAGACCCTAGAGGCGTGGTGG